CTAGAAGTGAGAATGATAAGACTTCCTCTCGTGTGTGCTTTGGAGATCGTGCTAGTGCAGGTGGACTAGAGGAACAAATCCAGAGACATTCATATGCGTACAAGAAAGAGCCACTGAGTGTTGAGAAACATCCCAGCCCAGCCCAGATCAAGTCCATAAGTCCGATATTAGTCCATATGTCCAATAACAATCTATAAAGTCCTCATCTGACTCACAAAACACATGCAATGACGCCGAATGCAGGAAGATCACAGGCCAGTGGATGGACAGGCTTGTGGATCCATTGGCGGTGGAACCATCTCAATGCTGGCAGGGATCTCCACGTGGCTCCTCCAGCTCTAAGACTCTAGGATCGCTCCATGTGCTTTGTCAGCAGGAAAGTCTTTCAGGGAGTGACTGTGTGTCCCGTCTCCAGTGAGCTTTTTATCTCCGTGGTGCCTCCAAGAGAGGTCATGAAGCTGTGACCTGATTGACAGGCTAAACTTCTCCCTGTCATTCTTAATAGTCTCAAGTTGACAACAGATTATGTAATGACCACAGTCATGTTTTCCTTCTGAGGCCACTCTGGGTGTGTGCTTGAATTGCCTATCTTTAGGTGAGTCTTGAATTGAGGGAGTACTTGAGTCCCATCCTTGCTTCTAAGGAGCATTCTCACAGTTCTTCCATGGTATACTTAATATTCTAAGCCAATATCATAATTCAGTGGTACCTAGTCTTCTCTTATTCATTGTCTTGCCCAGTCATTATCCAGGTTTCCCATGCGGATGAGGCATTTTGAAATATTGTAGCTTGAGTCAGGCATATATTGACAGGCTAAATGCCACCGCCGCACTCTGTTTATCAAGTTGACAGGATGTCACTACCACAGCCATGTTTACCAGGAGAAAGCAGTCCCTACAGGAGGGTAAGAAGCAGAGCATGGAGCTGGACTGACACAGTGGCTGCAGTGGGCTCAGACCTAACAGTTGTGTGAGTCCTGTGCTATCACAGGACTGGACAGTGGTGCATTCTGTGTCTAACCAACTCGATGGCCCCTAACAACAGCATTGAGATTTCCTCTTTCAAGTGTTACAGCAATAGTAAAAAGGCTGAAAGAAAACCTGCCATTTCAGAAAATAGAAGTATAAGGTATGCACACTCTACCCCGCTTTTTATTTTTCCATACTTGCTTCTGCACTTTTTATAATTTAATAAAGGATACAAGCATGTTTCTTCCCTTAAGTGATCTTCTATGATGATTATATAGGGTTGTTCACAGTTTGCAGTATCATATGGAATTACCATTATTCAACTATTCTCCCATCAGTTCATTTGGCTACCTACTCTTTGCCATCCAGTCAATTCCAACTCATAATGTTACCAAGGCTATAGATCTTTATGAGAGCCGAAAACTTGCAGTTTCTCTCAGGAAGCTGCTGGTGGGTTTGATTGGCCAATCTTGCTAGTTAGCAGTCCAACACGCAAGACCACACAAAACTGTGCTCTTGAGTGGTAAGCTATACATAGTCTATTTCTTTTTGCAAAGAACTTTTATTTTTCTTTTGAATGATTTCTTTAGACTGTATTCTCAGGCATGAACTTGTAAAGCAAGACCATTTTTATGGCACTTAACATTACCAAATTGCTTGCTTAAGAAATCACAACAGGAGACCTTGGACAGGGCAAGATATGACAAAATAATAATTTATAAATTATCAAGGGCTCATGAGGGAGTGGGGAGCGAGGAGGGAGGGGAAAAATGAGGAGCTGATGCCAGGAGCTTAGGTGGAGGGCAGATGTTTTGAGAATGAGGGCAATGAATGTACAAATGTGCTTGACACAATTGATGTATGTATGGATTGTGATAAGAGTTGTATGAGCTCCTAATAAAACAATATATAACAAAAATACAACAGTTTGCTTTGCCACCAGCAGGGTGTGCATTTACCCATAATTTTATGTGAGGGCCTTCAAAAGTTCATAAGGAGCCCTGGTGGCAGAGTGGCTACGAGTTGGGCTGCGATCCACAAGGTCAGCAGGTCTAAACCATGAGGTGCTCTGTGGGAAAAAGATGGGTCTTTCTACTGCAAACAGTTCCAGTCTTGGAAACACATCGAGGCAGGTCTGCTCTGTCCTGTAGGGTCACTATGAGTTGGCAACCACTTGATGGAGGTGAATAAGCTAGAAGATCAAAAAACTCGTGGAAGAATGGAATTGAAGGATAATGGAATTTTTCCATGAACTTTGGAACGTTGCATGACTGCTTTAGTATGGGCAAGGAGCAGGAGTGGCAGAGCACCCAGGATGCTGCAGCACGAACAACTTAGCACTGAAAGCCCTTTGATCGCCTCCTTTCACCTTGTGTGAACTCACCTCACGCTTGTGCTCTGGGGCCTTCTTTTGTGAGGGTCCCTGTCATGACACTTGTGCACGGCTTTTTGCAGTCAGCACTTTAAGTTCTGAAGATGTACCTTGGGACTTCTTTTTAGTAAGAACACGCACATCTGCCTTGGAAGATGTGTGGCCTCTTTAGAGGCAGGAAAATGTCAGGAAAGGCACTCAGTGACATGGATTGACACCGCGGCTGCAGCAGTAGACTCAAGCAGAGGAACCATTGTGAGAACGGAGCAGGACTGGGCGGGGTTTCATTTTATTGTGTCCATAAGGTTGCAACTGCTTGGAACCAACTCGGACACATAATAACAACAGCAGGGACCACTAGGTAAAAATTGAGGACCTTATAGATACAGTTAGGTTAAAATGTAACATTTAAGCCCCTTTTAACCCATTTAATATATATATATTAAAAATAAAAGGGGCTCATAAGAATATTTTTTTTTTATTATTTTTTTTAAGGTGAAAGGATTGAAATACACATAGATGAAGCCCCTGGTGAATCCCCGTTGAACCCAGACCAGGGATGTGAATGCCTTGGTATGCAGAGTGCATTGGGAAAGTGGATTATGACTGCTGTAGCTAGTTTAAAATTTAACACCTTATCATTTGATCTCCCTTGTCACCCATTTTAAGTTGTTCTCGTTCTTAATGTTTTTATGTTTTCATTTCAAATGAGGTTTTTCTTTATTTTGTTAGTATTGTTAACTTTTTTGTTTGATTTTGTTTTTATATGTTTTTCACTTATATGACATCTAGGATGGGTGAATCCATTGATGCAGTAACAGAGGAGCTAATAACAAGCAGTATAAGAAAGAAAATGTATTAAAGTTGATTGTGGTGATGACTACAACTCTTCGTGATAAGCCATTTTAAAATGGCTTTTAAAAATTGAGAACTATCTACCAATCTGCCTGTATTAAAATGGTGGTTCCCATCTCTTTCCGTTACCTCTGGCCTTTTTGATTGGAGATCACAGCTGTACTGGACTCACATTAGACGTGCGTAACACTAGGGCCAAGGACATTGATAGCGTCGTGGTAACATTTTCGTTTTCCGGGCAGGAGACCCAAGTTCAATTCCTAGCTAATGCACTTTCTGTTCAGCCACCACCCATCTGTCAGTGCAGGCTTATGTGAGGCTGTGATGCTGAACTGGTTTTAGTAGAGCATTGATCTTTAAGGGAGACTAGGAAGAAAGGCTGGTGATTTGCCTCTAAAGGTTAGCCACAAAGATACCAGTCGGATCCTGTTCATGGGTTGCCATGAGTCAGGGACCTACCTGTCAGGGGCTTAATAGGACCAATCTAGTGTAGCTATTATGGCTGCGCACTTTGGGTGAGGCTCAGGGTCTTGCAGACTCATTCATCAGATTGACCCTACAGGACAGGATGGAACTTCCCTGTGGGTTTCCGAGACTGCAACTCTTCATGGCAGTCGTTCTCAACCTTCCCAGTGCCGCGACCCTTTAATACAGTTTGTCACGTTCTGGTGACCCCCCAACCATAACATTATTTTCCTTGCCTACTTCATAACTGTAATTTTGCTACTGCTATGAATCGGGTGACCCCTGTAAGGGTCGTTCGACCCCCAAAGGGGTCATTGCCTACAGGTTGAGAACCGCTGCTTTATGGGAATAGAAAACCCCATCTTTCTCTTGAGAAACGGATGGTGGTTTAGAACTGCTGACCTTGCGGTTAGCACGCAACACATAATCACTCCACCAGCAGGGCTCCTTTCAAAAGTCCCCTGCTTCTTGCTGTGTGTTCCTGCCCCAAGCTTAGTCATGTGAACTAGAGCTTCTTAAAACCACAGTGTGTGTTTGCTCTGTGAATCTCAGTGTTACGTTCTTTGCCCTGAAGGTCTCTTCTCCGTGCCCAGTCTCCTGTTACCGTGCTTCCCTGAAAGTAAGACATCCCCTGAAAATAAGACCTACTTACAGTTTTGCCTCTTGCTGAAATGTAAGACATCCCCCCGAAAATAAGGCCTCCCCAATAATAAGCCCCCCCCCCAAGCTACCGTAGCGGCTCACTGTTGGCCTCAGCGCAGCCTGAGCAGACAGGAAGTGCGAGGTCTCTTTTAATCAGAGAGCCCGCACCTCTGCCAGGACAAGCTGCCGCCTGCTTCTCGCTCTGCCCTGACGAAGTCTGGCTGACTCACAATTAGACAGTGAGTCTCGCGGGGCAGGAGTAACAAGAAATTCTTGATACTGTAGGATTCGCAGTTTGTCTGGTTATGCTGGTCTGTGATGACAACTACTACCATACCGTATACAGGTCATAAATTTCCTTTTTTGTTGTTCAACAATAAATGTGTACCGTATTCTTCTTCATGGAAAAATAAGACATCCCCTGAAAATAAGAGCTAGCGCATCTTTGGGAGCAAAAATTACTATAAGACACTGTCTTATCTTCGGGGAAACAGGGCACCAGCGCTTTACCTTTTCCCATGGTTCTCCCTGCCGTTGGTAGGAATCTTGGGCAGCGGGACCCCCTCTTCCTAGGTCCTTTCTTGTTCCCAGTTTCTTCCTGTTTGTGACGTGCGTGTCTTCAAATGCGCGTCTGTGGAAGTATATGTGTCAGGAATGCTCTCATTTTCTGTGTGAAACCCCAAGTCACATTTCAAACCTGGGGACAGAGTGCTGGTTTGCGGTGGGCTTGTCCTACAGTTCATTTTATGGGTTTTGGGTCGTGAAGAATAGGTTGGGCCGGGGAAGACTGGCACTCAGCTCCCTGCAGCTTCCGGCACAGAATACAAAGGGATGTCAACAGGTTTGTGGGAAATTCCATTCTCTTTCAATTTCATTTTTTCCCATAAACTTCTTCTACTTAATTTTTTTAAACCATTTTATTAGGACATGATTCAGACCTCATCCAATTCAGTGGTTCAGTCATTCCCACAAAGTTCTTGAAGACACCTGTATTTCAGTAGGAAGAGGCCAGTGGGGTTCCCCGCTATAGTACCCGGAGGACTTCCTGAAGATGACAATAGATGGGTCCCAGGTAGCCAGGTGAGGCCAGGTGGCTTCACAGAGGCACATCCTCCTGGTCGCATGGAGCCTTCACAGACAAAAACCTCACTTGCCATTGAACTGATTCCGCTTCACAATGGCCCGTGTATAAGACGCAGAAACTGTGCACCACAGGGTTTCCAGGAATCTGATTTTGGGAAGGTAGGTTGCTAGGCCTTTCTTTTGAGGTGCTTCGGACCGCCCACCTCCTGGCTAACAGTCAAGCATGTTAGCTGTTTGTGCCGAAGGTCGGCACAAACCTTCTTCCAGTCTGTCTGGAGCAGTGGCTCTCAGTCTTCCTAATGCTGTGACCCTTCAACACGGTGCCTCATGTTGTGACCGCCGCAACCATAAAGTTATTTTTGTTGCTACTTCATAACTGTAAATTTGCTACTGTTATGAATCGGGTGACCCTGTGAAAGGGTCATTCGGCACCTTGCAAGACATGCCTGGTGATCCACTTCGGAAAAGTCAACCACTGAAAACCCTGCATGGCACAGTTCGGCTCTGACGCACGTACCGTCGCTGTGATCGGAGTGGACTCAGTGGCAGCTGGTGACTGGTTCACAGACAGGCTCGGTGACTACTACTTTGTTTCTGTCTGTTAGACACCAGAGCCAGAAGCGGAACCGCCTCGAGCCCCTGAGCCAAAGCAGGGCCTGTATGAACTCTCAGGGAGCAACTTCGAGCTGCACATTGCTCAAGGTAGGTGGTGCTCTGCGAGAAACATGGCATTGCTAATGTTGGAACTTACCAGCTACAGATGCGAAAGATGGAGCTGCCTGTCCCCGTAAAGATTGACAGCCTGGGAAGCTGTCCAGGGTCACCGTGAGTTGGAATTGACCCTGGCAATGGGTCTGGTTTCATCACTCACAGGATCTCATTGACGTAACAAAACCCGCTTCTAAATGGGAGTCTGACCTCAGGTATTGGGGTTAGGATGTACACCACATAATTTCGGAGACCAGGACAGGCTCCATGCAGGATGTGCTTCCAAGGTACTCTTCTCCCCAAGCCCACCCAGCCAGTCACTGATGAGGGGCCGTGTTCGTAGACACCGCATTGGCTGCTCTGGAGGACCTCTGGCCACAGTGGTCCTCAGAAAGCCGCGTGCCTCCTCCCTGCCATGGTGGCTCCTGCCCTCCTGAGCCTGTCACCATCAGGCAGCTCTGCCAGCTTCCCTTACTGTATGGCCTGGCAGGGTGCGTACTGCAGGCAGGCTGGTAACTTTTCTGAGCAAGCTTGTCACCATTCCCCGCAGCCTCTGCTGTGGTAACTGGCAAAGTCCTGCTCTGAGGCTGAGTTACATGTAAATTTTCAAGGAATTTTTTTTCTTTATTTTTTGCCTCTTTTGGGTTTTGCCCAGAACCTGATGACCTGATTTCATTTTCCCCTTGGGTGGCTGCTACTCATAAAGTCAGCAGTTACAGCACCCAGAGGGAGAAGGGTGAGGCTGTCTGTTCCATCAGGACTCAGCCTGGGGAACACAACCGTTTCCATGCAGATGTGCTTCCAAATCACCCTTCTCCCCCAGCCCACCCGGCCCTGTGGAGCGTGACACGCAGATTGTGTCAGATCAGGACTGTTGAAGCCAAAGGCGTCCTGGTCCTGCCCCGTCCTGCCAGGGGCTTTCTTAGCCACTGTGTCAGCGCCTCTCCTTGAGGATGCTCCTCTTTCACGGCTGCGATGGTCTGCGTTGCAGAGCAGACTAGTTCATCTTGATAACGTGTTTGAAGTTTGTTCCATGAAGGTTTGCCTTCTTATAACGTGTTTGAAGTTTGTTCCATGAAGGCTTGCCTGCTTTTTAGGAGCATCCTGGCTGTACTTCCATCGAGAGAAATTCGTGTTTTCTTTGGTCACTCTACAGTGTATTCAGTATCTTTTGCCAGCACTGTAGTTATGCAAAGGCATGATTGTCCCGCTTTTACGTGCATATATATGAGGCGATTGAAAACATCCTGGCTTGGGTCAGGTGCACCTCATGCTTCAGAGCGACAGCTTTGCTCTTTAACACTTTAAAGAGACCTTGTGCAGCAGATACAAAAAGTAAATGTAGACCGTAGTAAGTTGGTATAAATTAATCATTGTCATTTTCAAGAAGTAATACCCCTCCAGCCAGCCCTGAGCTGGCCTCATGCCCCATCCAGGTCACAGCCGGCCTCTGGATTCCTCACTTAGGGAAACCCGGTGCTTGTGTCTGTCTATGGGGTCATCACCCGAGTTTGCATTCCTAAGCATCAGCATTTAGTTTACATTGGACTTTAAAACAAATGTTTTAAACTAGATGTTTCCTCGGTATTATTTTTTCCTTGCATGTTATTTAGAGTGCATCCCCAATGTAATATGTTTCTTGGATTTCTCTGTTTCCTGTAAGGGGAGTTGGGTCTAGGGGGCGCATGACCCATCGCAGTTAGAATTTGGGGAGCAGGAACAAGACTTCCTGCTTTTGTGGCGATTTGTGGCGATCATGTCTGGTGGTCTGTGGCGTTCACAGCCGTGGACGGTCAGCTGCCTATGACCAGGAATCCTGGTCACTTTGTGCTGCTGTCACACAGATCTCCCTTGGGATTGGCATGAATGAGCAGACATTTATTGTAGGAGGTGAGCAGTCCGGATTCAGGAAGCCGGGTCCAGGGGAGGCTGCTCAGTCTTTGCCTCTCCTCAGCTTCTCTTGATGGTTCCTTGGTGACCTTCACAAGACCTGGGTCTTCCCCTCTGGGTGGCATCAAGGCTGTCAGCGCCCATAACGGTTGATGGCCTTGGAGACCTTATGTCGGGTCACTGAGAATCAGTGTCTCCAGACACTGCGGGGTCACAGCAAATACTGTATATACTCGAGTATAAGCCGAGTTTTTTTTTTT